AATATATAGATTCCATAAAAAAATTGCCAAAAAAAACCCACCCCCTACTTACTCATCCAATAAATGGGTTAATAAATTGAGTAGATAATTCTCAGTAGAAGAAATACAAATGGTTAATAAATATGGGGGAATGAGTTCAATATGCTTAGCCATCACAGCTGTGCAAGTGAAAACCACACTGAGATTCCATCCCACCCTAATCAGAATATCTATCGTCTAGAAAAACAACAAATCCTGGTGAGGAATGTGAATTGGAACATCCCTTATGGAAGTCAGTATGGGAGTGTCTCAAAACTTAAAAATAGAACCTCCATCCAAAGAATTCCAAGTCAGGAACACTAAACATCATTTAATGTAGCGCTGTTCACAGCAGCCAAGATATGGAACCAGCCTATAGGTCCATCAGTATCTGAATGGATAAGGAAAATGTGCTGTATATACACAATGGAATCTTATTCCATGAAAATAATGAAAGTATATATTGTAGGAAAATGGATGAAATTTGAGATGATGTTAAATACAATAAGCCAGACTCAAAAGGACATATATGGTATATTCTCTCTCATATATATAAACTAGATTTAAATATATATATAGATGTATACGTAGGAAGGCCTTGACAGTAGACATGGGGTTACAAAAGCGGAGAATGAGGTCTAGAGGAAAGGGGGAACAGGAGAGGAAAATGTAATCTACGTAAACGGAAGCTAGGGTGACTACTTGGGGAAGGACAAATTGGAAGACAATATAATGACCCATATATATATATATATATATATGGTCACATTGAAGCCGGGCAGTGGTGGCACATGCTTTTAATCCCAGCACTTGGGAGACAGAGGCAGGCTGATCTCTGTGAGTTTGAGGCAACAACACATCACAGAAATGGGGACAACTACATTCGTCACTGTTACAGTTGCTCTTCAAGAAACCACTGTAACACCCCAGCTCCCCAGGTGTAGGCAGCAATCAGCTCCTCTTCATGACCAAGCAGCAAGATAACCCAAAGCTTTCTCCTTGAGGGGGCTGGGCTTTTGACAACTATGACCTTCATGTTTACCAACAAGGCAGGGAGGGAGACTGACTTTCTAATAAAATGGCTGCCTTAAGTCTTCTTTCGGTTGTATGGACAGAAAGTATCCTTACTGGTAGCCCTCCAGTCTTGCCCATAGAGAAGACATGTTTTATTAACCATTAGCAAAGACCTCTGTAGATCATGCTTACCCTGTGGGCCTCTAGTATCTGAGGACTTTTCCACCCTCGGTATTATAAGGGAGGACTCCAGCTCTACAATGCCGTCTTTTCCCCTCAGTACTGGCTTATGGGCCTGCCATACATCCTATTGCATGGTAAGTAAAATAAATAAAAGGATTAAAGACAACAGTAAATAAAAAGGTCTTTCCCTGGGCAGAGGCATCTTCCTGGTAGGTGGGGTTTTCTATTACTGGAGTTTACTCTTTCTCCAGCATGGCTGTTTGGAAGTTTTATTTTATTCTTTCTTGGCTAGGATGTGGCCACTGTTTTCCCTCACCTGAGCAGCTTGTCAGCAGTAGGTGCGCATTGCTAAAGAACATTTTAATAAACTCTTCCTTGCCATATCTTATATTGTATCTCGCCGGAACCCTAATAAGCAGTCTCATTTTCACCAGTTCTCCCAGGTCCCTGTTGGTGAGGTCTCATAGTTCCTCTGAGATCTAGCTCTTTCCCAGTCAGCTGGCCCAGCATCTCAGCAACTCAGTGACAGTGTGCTGTAACTGGTCTGACGGTTGGGAGAGGAGGTAGTGACATGCATTATTATCCTCAAGCAAAGGGAATAGCAACTTTTTTTTTTTAAGAGATGGGATAGGACACTAAGGAAGAATTGAGGAGGAGAGATCACTAGAACCTGGTCATTAAAGTTTGTTAACATGCATCAACTGGGCAGCCCTTTCTATTTCAGCTAGGGCTGTACTGGGCAGCAGACCTTGTAAGGTCAAGAATTGCACCTGTTTTGGAACTCCACTTCTCATCAAGAGTCTTGGGCCTGATGCACATCTTGCCTGTGGCTGTAGAAGAGGCCCTCTTTAATGTTGCCAGTGGGTGTCTCTGGCTCTCATGTTTAGCTCTTAATTGGTGAGCAGTTATCCTTCGCCTTTCATTGTCTTCCCTCAGCACACTAGAATAGTCTAGACCATTTTTTAAACAAATTATTTACTTAATGTTTTTGAGCATGTTTGCCCACAGCTATGTATGTTCACCAGGTGTGTGACTGGTGCTTGTAGGGGCCAGAAAAGGGATTCAGATGCCCTGGAATTGGAGTTACTGGCAGCTATGAGCCTCCATGGGGTGTTGATAACCAAACCCTAGTCCTATGCAAGAGCAACCAATGCACTTAACCTCTGAGTGGTCTCTTCAATGAATCTAAATTCGTTGTTCTAGTTACACTTTTCCTTATATGCAAATGCCTGCTATGGCGTTTCCTCCAGTGTTACCCTCTATCAGTATGCTAGAAAGAGTCATCATCAGTGAGGTAATAAAGGTATATCTCTATTGTGCCAGAGGCTACATTTGCTCTTTGTTTCTTCCTCTTGTGGGTCAGTGGTACCAAATCCTCTTTCAGCATGCTTCCTTGCATACTCCTGGTACCAAGCATGATAGGCTGGCTCTTTGGGATGCAGACTGAGAGGGGTGGGAAGGAAAGAAAGAAGGAGGAGTGAAGGGGAAGAGGGAGCGAGGGAGAGAACACTGGGTATTGAAAGCTTATGATGTAGTGTTCCCAGGATCAAGGCTGCAGGGGAGGAATTCAGGTGTGAGCAAAGGGAGAGGTTTTGCTGCAAAGCAACGAAAGTGTCAGTTAACTCTCAGTGCAGTTCTGGAGCTGCAATGACATACGCTGTTCCATTTCTTCACATCCAGAGTTTTTGGTGAGAAGCAAGACCATCACCATAACATCTGGCAAAGGGGCTGGTGAACACAAGCAGAATCTTGGAGCTCTGTCAGACATGCTCAGAGCTATCCTAGAGTGAAGATATTAAGATGTTCAGAGTGAAGATAGAGACAGAATATTGTGACACAATAATCCAGCACTTTCCAAAAGGCAGGGCAATCATTTTTATTCATGCTCAATGAATTCTAAATGGCTACTAAAATGTTCACTTACATTTACGGAACATTTAGTGGGTGTTGTTACCCTTTTATAGTATAATCTCATAGATTTAACGGAGTCGCAATCATTTACTTGATGCTGAAGATTGCAAACCAGGCATGCCATTCTGGGCTTTCTCTGGGGATTCTCAGGTCTTGGCTATCTGCATTCTTACTTTGAAATAACCAAACTGAACATATCTAGCTGGACCTATCTCCTCAGAACAGAGTACCATTTACTACTGAGAGGAAAGGTAGGTAAATTGAGCCTATTTCAGCAATCTTTTTGAAAGACCTGATGAGGCTCAGCTACACGCACTGCACTTAGGATTCCTTTGTCCTTCTGAGCTTGTCAGGAAGGTCTGGCAACACAGACCTTTGTCTGTGTTTTCTTTGTCTTCTTACCTGTAGGAAATAGAAGAATTCATATTTGTTCGTGCTTATATGTATCCATGGACCGGACCCAGGTTTTGCTGGCAAGAATGGCGTGAGATTTCTTCCTTTCTTTTCTTCCTTCCTTCTTTCCTCTCTCACTCTCTCTCCCTCCCTCCTTTCCTTTCTTCACAAAGGTTCAAAGACTCTCATTTAGAAGGGTCCTAATTAGCGTCCTTGAATAAGTGATATGTTTATAAGGATTTGGGAAACTAGAATCCATTTTAGCTTTAAAGGTTCATGAACTCTTCCTATGCAAATGGTTGAACTAAGAAGACAAGTCTACGTCATGGCCACGATCAACATGAACTGCAAAATGTTATACAAATAAGAAGTTCGAACACCTGTCATCACGCTATATTCATATTTTCGACAATACAAAATTTAAAAAGATAATACCCTTGAATACCCAATGGTGGGCTCAGTTCATTTAAATAACAATTGCAAACACAAGCCCTCAATAGGTAGTCTCTTTTTTAGTTTGTAAACAGCAAAAAGAAATAGAGCATCTAATTTTTGAAATTCTTCTGGCTTCTCTGCTTGACCTTTGGTATTTGTATGTATTGACGATCTCTAAACCCTTGTACAAAAACACCTTGAAGTGCCAAGCTTTAAAAATGAGTCTTTTCTCTTTCTCCTGTGCAGCTTGTATTATCTTGGCCTTGTCAAAATATATTCTCTAGTTAGAGGGTGGAAATATTTCCCTCCTGGCTCTGAAGTATTGATTTTCTCCAACACTCAGTTCTGTCAGTCAGGCAAAGGGGTGAAAGGTGAAAGTTCACCCGGCATTGCTTGTCTTTACCTTCCTATTAATGTCATGCCCTTTCTGCATTTGATCAGTTTATGCGATCACCAACCACACAGAACTGTTACTGCTCTTATTTTCCTACAAGGACACATTTAAGCTATCGCTGTTTAATTCCTGGGTATGATTATGCTGTTATATATGACCGACTCAAGTCCAGCTGCCCTGGGCTCTCATCTGAAAAGCGTGGGAAGAGTACACTTGTTACTTACTTACAATGCTCCATGAATGACGAGAACTCTTGTTATTCTTACCTCAGCATTCAAATCCAGCTTCAACCTCAACAGTAACGGCGGTGAATTCAATGCTCTGAGTCTGATTCCTAGGCAGAGGACCCCCAAGATACAGTTTGGTACAAAGTCTCTCCGTTTAGGCTGGAGATAGAGCAACATGTATGCAGTTCCCCCGCCCAAGCCACAGAGGGCGCCGCTGAGTTTCTGCATCCAATCTCAAGCTTGTGCACTGTGGGTAAAAGCCCTCGCCACTGTTTTACTGTCCTTTGAGAACAAAGCTGCCTTTCTTACAACCTGCTCGCCAGTGAAATGAGTAGCTAGAAGAGGAGGGCAAGAGGAACATAAGGGTTTCAACAGAGAATGTTTTTAGAGGGACCGCAGCAAACAGTAAAAATAGGATAAAGACATTTTATCAGTACACTTCAGTTTTATTTAACACAAGTATGTACACAACGATTTTAAACACATATAGAATCTATTAAATGGAGTCAACCAGAAATGTCTTAGGAGACAGACATTTTAATTTATTCACTATATGCAATTCAAACATGACAACATTTTCATACAGGTTTCTTATCATGTCGCCTTCTGCTTGTAAATTACCAGTGAAGCCACATATGTCTTTATACTTAAAAGGACAGTTCCAAATGCTGTGTCAACAAAATCAATAAAACACTACAAGCGTACACTGGGATGGCACTACAAACTTTACCTCAGTGTTGAGGAATCCAAGCTGAGATGCAGCTGGGAACTGTGGTTGTCCAAACAGCCAAGGATAGAGTTATGATAATGAGAATTTAAGTGATACTTTATCAGCTAGTGATTCTTCTAGCATAAAGTTTTACATGCACAGAACTTTATTGTCCTTGTGCGCTCCTGACTATACACATGGAAGGACCAGCCAGACCTACGGCCAGAGAGTTGTCCCTGTGACCTCACTGCTGTGTACCCATCTCTATGATGGATGGCATCTGTTGTTGCCCTCCAGTCCAGCATCTCTTTCATAATGTATGGAACATTTTGCTTAAAAAAAATGTCTAAGGTGTGAGTTTGTCTGTCATTCCAAATGGTTCAGTTCCTCCCTCTGAAGTTCATCAAGTAAACGTGTGCTGGGTAGACAGCAGCCTCTGGAGCCCGCTGGACATTCTCCATTACATCAAATATATTACCAAGTTCACAAAAATCTACACTGTACAGTCCTTGGTTTCCTTCTTTGAAGCTATGAATATAATCACTATAAATAAGATATACATGCATGTGAAATAAATTCACATTTGAAAGAACCCAAACATCAAAAACCAAGAGACAGTATAGAGCTGTCACCAATAAAAATAACAAAATAGCAAAAGACATTCTGAGGACATTTGCTTCTTCACATGTTTTTTAAAGGACTGTAAATGATGTATTTATTCACGGACCTTGATCCTACTCTTCTACATCTTACATAAACTTTGACAATCTATGAGTTTAAGACTAAATGCTCTCATTATCATTTTGGTTCCTCTGTTAATATTACACGTTTTCTCTGAGTTCAATAACTTCTTTTTATTTTTGTATATAATAAACCATCTTGTATAATTAACCAATCAACCAACAAACAAGTCAACTCCCACTAATATAGATCAAATTTTTTTAGGAACAACTCATACGAAACACTGTGTCATGGATTTTTTCTTCCTTTATGTTACAATCAACATAACTTGACACAAGAGGAAAGTGGAATTAAAGTTTGTGTTGAAACGTGGTGAACACATTCACTATAGTGTTCATTCAAACAGACGGACAGGCTTCACATTTTTCTGTATCTTCTCAACAAGGTGTCTACACAGTTATTAGATTTCTAGGAAGTTTACTTAAAATAAATGCCTTCCTAGTTGTTCTTGCACTGGTCAGAATTTGGAAGGCTGGGTTGAAATGATCATTGTAAGTGACTGGGCGCACACATGAGAACTGCCAGTTATGAAGTTCCTGAAGAGGAGGGGGCTCTCCTGCACAGGCGGGCGTGTAGTGACACACGGGAGATACTCCACTGCGCAAATGTGTTATGCTTCCAAACTTGGTTCTCCACTGAAAGTCCCCGTGGAAGGCTAGTTAGAGTCACCACATGTTGAGTGGCGATGTTGTGTATTTTAAACTATGAAATGTACTAACATTTAAGCAGGAAATGAGTCTTTTAGAAAGCTAGGTATCTGGAGAACTTTTCTGGAAGGAAAAAAAACATATGTAATTTAATATTCTCTCATTAGCCTCAAATCAGGATTGGTGTTACTGAGAAAGTAGTGGCTAACTCCTCAGAAATGGAATTGAGTAACTGCTTATCAATTGCTACCAGGAAAAAAAAAAAAACAATGTAAACATGTAAAAGGTTTGGTAAACAACAGCATGTTTGGGATATCCAAAGGGAAGTCATTTCAATAATGAGGACTCCATTTTGCCCCAGTGTCCAGGCAGAGCTGAGCTTCCAGGGCTGGCAATGGGGATCAGGGCTGGGAGTGAAGCACAGAGGTTATTGATGTTCAGGCTTTTGTTGCATCAAGCAACAAGAGCACCTCCAGGAACCACTAGCTCTCCCCTCCCATCTCTGGCAGGGAAAATCTACCTAGTGACAGAAAGGTCACATCCTGTTGAGTGCTAAGTGCGTGCCTTTAAATTGACAGGTTGCCTACATGGAGTCTGCCCCCATGAAGCACGCACAAGTGACACAGACCTGGCCATGTCCCTGGATGGCCTTGAGGAGGGCAGATAGCAAGCAACAGTCCAGCCTGAGTAAGGACAGAGTAACATTGGCCTAGAAAATATAGAGTTAACTAACAGGCAGTCAGGGCAGCAGCCAGGAGTGTTAGACCATGAAGCGATGTTCCTTCCCGTCGTGGGCCATGAGGATAACATTCCGGTTGGAAGTCCAGATGAGCCGGGCCAACCGAAGGGCATTGTGGGAGCCAGGGGATGCGGGCTGCACTGGAGGTACCTGGTAGGTCTTAATGCAGCGCAGCTGAGGTGCCGAGTTCAGCATGCCGATGCTTCCCAGGAGTGATGTGTTCATCTGCAACGACAGGGGACACACACATCACGACACGTGTCAAGAGCCCTTCCCTCCTTCTCCACAGAGACTGGCTTATTTCTTCTGCCTAGTCTCTGCTCCAGAATCATAATTCACATTCAGCTTTGAGTTATTCTGACTTTAAATGGTTCCTGTGAAAAGATTTAAAATTGTTATGATGCCACTAATGTGAACATAGGAGCCTCGAGTTATTTTCCTTTGTAAGTAGAGCCTGACAGTGGAGTCCATTCATCTTGAGGAAAGAAGCTAAACTAAGATTGCTAATAAAACAGTTCAATCAGAGAGCATTTGGTTCAAAATTAGTTGAGGAAAGTGAAGCACAAACAAGCTGCAGATGGAGAGCTGACTGGGCCATGCCCCAGGCCTATCATTCCTATCATCCTATCAACAACCACCATTACTTAAGCATGTGGTTGGAGGACGAAGGTTCATGTCAGGCGTCATCCACAATCACTCTCCATCTTGTATATTGGGGTGTCTCCCTGAACCTGGATCTCACAAATTCAGCTCACCTAGCTGACCCACTTGCCCAGGGAATCCTCCTTTCCCCTTTCTCTGCCTAGCAAGTGCTGAAATTCCAGGTGTGCTACCATACCAGCCCAGCATACATGTGAGTGCTTCTTGTCCAAACTCAGTCACTCAGCCCTTTATCCCACGAGTCATCTCAGCCCTCAGCTCCTCTTTATTTTAAAGACAGAAATGAGAAGCATTTTCATCCCAGCACTCTGCTACCCTGCTAAGGACAATATGTTTTTCATGCTTTATTGACAACATTTTTTTTTTTTTAACCACTTGGCCATTTTTGCCTTTTTGAGATTTTTTTTCTGGGTTTGACTTAGAAATGTGATTTTTTTTCATCTAGTCACAAAAATGAAAACAACATGAAAAATATGGATCATGAACAACTCTGTAATTAAATTAAGGTGTTGAATATCAAATAATTGTTGTCTAAGTTGTTTGGGTTTGGAGTCACTGTATTTGAAGGTTTCTTGAAGGGCTAAATATTACTTAAATGACTTCAATATGCATTATTTGTGTTACCATAAATCACACAGAGAGCATTCTGAAACCTGGAAACCAGCCTTGGAAATAATGTTCCTCCATACTTATTCACTTCCTATTCCTCTGGTGATTAAGCATCTTCATCTGCATGGACCACATGCTAGTTGTGTGGGCAAAACATGCCTATCATGACCTAGCTGCACCTGTAGTTGAAATCCTAACAGGTCTTAGGACCTTTAAGATGTGTTATTGTGATACCATGCTCTGAATTTGGAACAGTGCACAATGCAAGCCATTCCTTTTCCGCCCTTCTCAGCAGCAGGATGGTGTCAGAGGGCGTAAATCATGGCATCTCTAGCAGGGTGCGTGCAGGCTCCACTGACATTTTCACAATTTAAATCATCTTGAGTAATAACCCTTTTAAGATGACTAATGTTACTGATTTTCCTGCATTAATAATAGTGCCGAACACAACACAAGGGGTGAAAAAAATCACTAGTGTACGAGGTCACATTTTAAACCAAATGTATGGTCATCATTAACTCTTTCTGCTAAAGTTCAGTTCAAGCCAAGCAGTATCTCACTGTCATCCTCCCAAGGTCTCTTTCCTTGTTTCTTTTCCTCATTTTCCTAAAAAACTCCACACGAGACAAAACTCTAAGCCTTCCTGCTTTATGGGGCCTCCCTGCTGTTTTAAATGTAGATAACAATGGTTAACTCAATTTGCTAGTTTCACATCTACAAAACCTAACAGATTATAATTAGTCCTCTAATAAAACAGATCCAATTGACCCAAGAAATTATTGGTTAAAATTGGCATCAACAGGTGTACTGACTGCACTTTAAAAACATATGCTTTCTCAGTTGATAAATATCTACAAAGTATTTTTAATTCCTTATGGATTTGCTATGAAAATATGTATGAAGCTTGATTTCTGCTGGTGTTTGAAGATGCAAAGGGCATATAGGCTTGGATATGCCTCTTTTGTTCATCCCTTGTAGCCATTTACGAGAAATGCGGTTAGGGCTAAAGGATGAGACTCTCCTGGAAAGAGCCACAGACAGGCACATTGTATGAACAAGCCATTGCTATACCTGGGCTCCCATCATAAGCTGAGTCATCTCTGCTCCACCAAGCAGCCTTCCAACTTGGAACGGGGTGTGCCAAGTTCTCAGAGGCACACAGTTAGCATGGTGGACATGAAAACCCACACATGCACTAGATTTCATTTCTCTACTGACCATCCTTTCCCTACAACCCTTCAAATGAGGACTGGTCTTAGTTTCCAGGGTGAGGGTTAATTCTCACTGAAACAATGAGCCATTCTGATAGCCAACATTATCTTTTTTATTGACTGATGTGTGGCTATACCCTATGCTAAACTCAAGGAAATTTAAACTTTGAGTGAAAAGCTACATGGAATTACAAATTTCATCTCTATTAAGTATTTTTCCTTATTACAAAAATTATAAATGTTATAAAAATTCTTTAAATCTTACTTTCTTGTGACAATCACTGTTACCATTTTGGCAAACAACCTTTGAACGTTCCAGGACTCAGTCATATACCCTGCATGCACTTGTGCAATATATGCACACACACAAATCACACATGCACACACAATCACATGCACACTCAAACACCTGGCATACATATGCAAACTGTATGCACAATCATACACACGCCGTCACATGCTACGCATTCATGTGCACGATGTCAGATACACATCGTATGCATTCTCAAGCAAGAACCCTATCATAACATGTACACCGTATGCACATATTAGACACACAGGACACATGAACATTCAAATACCTTGTACTTCTATACACACTGTATGCACACCTAACACATACTGAGATCTAAGAAAGAGGCTCACATTAAAAAGTAGTTCTACAATGTGCTTTTTCCTTCATGCTAATGACATAAGACAATCTTCATGCTAATGACTGTAGATTTATATCACTGTTTTTGAGTCTTTGGGTAGCACTCAACTATATGATGGACCATAAATGGTCCATATAAATAAGATGGACATACCAATAAAAAAGAAACTAGTATTTTACTAGTACTTTACTAAGAGTTTTGAAATACCGTATTTATTTATTAGGTGGTACTGGTAATATTTGCATGAGAGAATTAAGGATGTTTTTCATTACCAAATTCTCCTCGTTGTTTTATCAAATAGATACACTGAAGTGAAATGTTCAAATTGTAGAAATATGGTGTGTGGCTTCCAGACTGTGCCATTTAACAGCTAATTATATTAACTGACTAAAACCAAGCACTGGCTTCTTCCTTTCTTTCAGAAATATGCATCACAACACTAGTTATGAAGATTATTTTCTGAACAAAGAAACACACATAGATATAATCCATCAAAACAGAGAATGTTTAATGCCTTCCCCAAAGTAAGTAATGCTGCATGCAAACCTTTTACTGAGTCTCACTTGAGTAATTACTCAGCCAATATTTCTCATTAACACTCATTTCTCAGCAAAGATTTTATAGTTGATAGTTTTAGTAAGGCTCTGTATTAATAAGACTTCATTAAGTTTTCAAAATATAGTACACTTCCTGGAATGATCAAAAGCCTTCTCAGACACCATTAGAACTGAGAAACGTGGTCTACGTCAGTAGAGGAACAGAAGATTCACCCATTGCACTGTAGACTCTCTTTAATCCAAAAAAAAAAAAAAAAAAAAGCCACTACAGTTCTGGAAGAGCTGTTATTTTCTCGGACAGCCAGAATGATCTGTTTTCATGCCTTCCATACACTTGGAGCACCGCAGGAGTTCACTGCACCCTCAACTATGAGATTGTCAGAGGAAGGAAGGACCTAGGGGTGGCTGGCCTGTCTCGGGCACTGGTACACGCAGCTGGCACCAACATCCCTTGGAGCAGGGGAATTTATGGAGCCATGCTCCCAGGCTCAGGTACTCTTGAAAAAACCCAGAAATGTCAGCAAGCATGACAGAAGGACTGGAAGAGGAATCAAACAAACACCATCTAGTAAGTTCCACTCATGTGCTGGATGGGACATAAAATGTTTTAAGAAGACAATGAATAAATGTATTCAACTAGAATCTTAATACAGATAAGGATAAGAAAAAACTTACTATGCAGTAAATTCAAAAGGTACTGAAAAGATGTCAAATTTGGTTTAATTTTTTCTGTAATACCATACTTTCTTAGTTGAACAAAAGCTGACAAAAACAAACAAACAAACAACCCCCCCCCCAAAAAAAAACAAAAAACAGAGGCTTGGTTTGCTTGTTCTGTATAAAAAGGAAAACATGGGAAAAACTAGTCCCTTTGAGAAGTGGACCCTGGGACTTGCTAATCCCTCTCTCTGTAGAGTGGGCCAGAACCTAGCACCTGGACACAGAGGCAATGTGTAAGCACCCATCCAAGACTCCAGAAAAAAAAAAAAATTGCATGAAAATACAGGTGGCGAATGGCAGAGCCCACTGTGCCAGACATGAGTAGGGCAAACCATGATTGACCAATCATGAAAGAACCCATCTTTTAAGCCCATCTGTGGACATTAATAGACTCACAGGAGCTCATAGTATAAAATGCCAGTCCTGTGGCTGATCAGAGTTAAGATGGGATGAGATCCCTGATTGATGGAGTTTAATATGAGTTAATTAAGGTGCCGGAGACACATTCTGGAAAAACAGATAATGAGAAAATAACCTGGAAGGCTAAATTAGATTAAAAAGAAGAAAAAGGTTCTGACAGATTTGAAGGTGTCACATTTCAGTAGGATGTTGTTAATTAAACAATTTTTTGTATTCGTTTTACATTTCATTAGCTATTGATTTAGTTTTTAAAGCATCATCAAGTTGTGCTGAAGCCTTGTCAAAACTTTAATCTTATTTTTCAGCTTTTGAATCAAAATGCCCGTCTATGTAGTACATTTGCACCCTCCAAAAACACAGTTGCCAATAAAACAACAATAGCTGCTGGGGGTTGGAGAAATGTCTCGGTAATAGTTTTCTAAGCGTTAGGACTAAAAAAAGTTAAGAAAGAAGAGGAGATGGTGGTCCTTAAACATTTACAATCAAACAGTCTACTATAAAAATTAGTTGCTCAAAATGAGCATTTAGTTTAATCAACATTAAATACATATATTCCCACATATATTCCATGAAGTGCCAGATAAAGACACTCAAGTCTTTTAAAAAATGTCTTGAATAGTTTAGAAATTAAGAACATTAAGAGTGAGTAACAGGTAGTACATGCCTATAATCCTAGCATTTAGAAGTGGAGGGAAAAGGGTACTGAGTTTGAGGCTTGCCTGGATTATTAGGGAGACCATCAAACAAACAAAAACAAAACAAATAAACTTCCACTCAAACAAAAACAAGATGTAAACTAAAAAGGAGACAAGGGCAAGTGCATGAAATACTAGGAAAATACCCAGTGTCCTGTGGTCCACTAGAGTAGCTCCAAGGACGTTGTTAGAATGCTTTCGGTAAACTAACGGCTTGAGTGCTGAATTCCTATGCAGCCAGGCCTCACCTGTTCTTCCATCTCTCATGACTCCACCCAGGTGTCCCTTGCTCTGAAAGGCTACCATCTGGCCTTGATTTGTAACTGCTTGAGTGTTTGCCTGCCTTTCCTTTTGAGTGCGGCCCAGTGACAGCAGGGAAACTGCTAACTGTGTGCTCAAGTTAGTGCTGAGCGAATGATCAGTGATCTGAACACTTGGCTTTTGTGGAAGGGAGCGGGGAGAAGGGCACGAAGGAAGGCTGGGAGACAGGCCTGAGAGGAAGACTTTTCAGCAAAGCACATAATATGGTACATATATAGGCTGCTTACCTGCCAGAAAGAAATGTGGCTGTCAGTGTTGGAGTAGGTGGCCAGGTAACGCCCGTCAGGAGCAAAGGACACGGCCGTGATTGGTCCCTTGTGTCCGTGGATGGTCTGAAATGACAGTCATAGGTCACTAGTGACTTGCGTTCCACAGAACTCCTACAAGTACTTCTGGGGACATACTCAGTGTTGAACAGGTAATATCACAGATACCAGATACTGAAAACCGCAACTATTTATAAAATCAGGTTATAAAAATGAAGAAAAGTGAAAAAAATTCTTCATGTATGTAAGGGCATTAAAGGAAGAGGTCTGTCTTCCACAGTTTGAAAAGCATTATGAGCCCAAAGAGAAATCAGAGTTTTAATTCCTCACATTAGAGGGTAGAATTTTGCAGTTAATTAGAAAGATGTGATGGCTCTTCTTGGTTGTCAAGTGGACCACATCTGGAATTAACTAAGACCCAAATGGCTGGGTACACCTGTAAGGATTTTTTTTTTAATTAAATCTTTTGAAGTGGGAAGACTGGCTTCTATTCCAGATATTTTGAGGTGGGAAGATTCACTTTTAATGTGGACCTTCTGCTGACAGCCTATACAGAGGACATGGAAGGACGCACACTCTTTGCCTGCTTGCTTGGCTCACAAGCCCATTCCTTCACTGGTACTGGAGCCCACTTCTTCGGGATCCTGGTGTATATCAAAGACCAGCTGACACATCCAACCTTGTGGACTGAACAACTACTGGGTTCTTGGACCTTCAGTTGGTAGACAGTCATTGTTAGACTAGCGGGACCACAGCCTGTAAGCCACTCTAATAAATCCCTCTATGTAGAGATAGTGATTCATCTTATCAGTTCTGTTCCTCTAGTGAACCATGACTAATTAAAAAAAAAAAATCACCAAAAATTACCCAGGAACTTGCTTATCTGAAGTGAAAACCAGCCAAACCTGTACTGTAATTTTGCTCTGACACAGTTAAAGACTAACTTCAAATCCTTCTAAATTACACATTTTTCATGTTTTAGCCTTGATTTTACACCAATAACACTGTGCTTAACTGCCTACAGCTACAACCAGTAAGCATGTATACATGTATGCACTAGAAATACAGGCACATACAAATCAAACACTATTAAAAACATGTTAGCAGGAATAGTCTTGAATCTTTGCCAATAGCTAGCACTGATTTAACCAGAAGTAATAACAAGAAAGAGTATTTATTTTTGAAGAGTATATATAGCTCTGATAAAAGGCACTTACCAATAAAAAATAATACACTCATCTGCTGATATTAATATTTATAGAAAATAGAGCCTGCTAGGGAAATTAGCGTAATACTGTAAGCTAGCACACATTCTACTGCTAAACACCATTTTAGTTAATACTCAGAGGCTTCCCTTTGTCTTTAAGGAGGAATAAGAATCAGTGGACACAGACTTGTGATGTTATTTGGGTCATACATGCCGTAAATTTTTATAAGAAATTTTACATAGTTCAGATCTGAAAAATCAAATAAGAAAGACTTGGGAAGACAGAGACATGAGCCAAGCACATTTCTTAATGTTCTTTGCCATCTCTTGATTTGATGGTCAAGGGACTCAAAGAAAGTGTTATTCTGGTAATACAGATGTAGGCTTTAGGCAGCAGAGAACATGGGAGCTGAATCAGACTCTGGGTTTGCATTTGGCTCAATATTTATTCACTGTGGAACCAGGGTCACATTATTTAACCTCAGACTATCAATATCTCTAATATAGGTATGATGATGTGGATAGTGATTGTATGTGTGTCAAAGAGCTTTGTAAAAACTAAATGAGCTAATATACACATTATAACCTGCACAGTTCTTAACACATAATAAAAACTCAGCAAATACTATTGACATTGTATCACATCTGCTTGCCTACGAATGACCACACAAATGTAAACAATTACAAAACTCAATTACGTAAGTATAATGGTTTTTAAATGACCTCTCCCATGAAATCACTTGGCATCCTAGAATGCTTAAAAACAGACTGTGCCATTATTAAATAAGATGCATGGGAACTATTCATGGTGCTGGCAACAAGTGTGTCAAATAAAGCAACATGTACTTGTGCTCAACAGCTAGTGAAGGAAACCAGTATAATCGAAAATCAACTACGGTAGGATGAAAATTATTCTAGGCATGAGAAAAATCTTCAAGAAATTAAATGTCTACTGCCGATTACTAGAACAGCTTAAAGAACTCAATGGGAAAGCATTTTCATTTTTGAAAATTAGTATCCAGTTCTGGAAAACAACAAGAAAAAGACAAAAAACAAACAAACAAACAAACAAACAAAAAACAAACTTCACTTCCTTTGGGCCAATTTGAATCCCCTTTTTTGGTTAAGGTAATTGACTGGTGAGACCATGGTTTGTCACAGAGGATCATCAAAACCAAACTGTTGTGATTATTGGCCTTGAACATGATGCAAGCACTACCACTAGCTAGTGGACTGTAGATGTATTTTGTTTCCCTGCAAACTGTTTAAAAAGGTTTGTGCCCATAATTCTAACTTCCCATATCTCATATAAGGGGAGCTACTGGAGAGCTGGGCTCAGCTCACACGTGGCCACTTCAGCTTAGACACTTGCTCTTGACTGACACAAAAGCAGGCTTATGGATCAGACAAGCTCACCTATAGATTCTAGCCTTTTCATTGCACATATCTGGTTCAAAACAGTTTCCCAACCTCTGGAATCTGATTATCCAGCTAGAACCATAAGCAAACTACACATATTTCTAAGACAGCCTCAATGTCCCACTGAGTGGAGGCATAGCAAGCCCATGCTGGGCAGTGACGCTCTGATATCCACATAGATGCAATGCTTCCTGATTAGCATCCTGCCTCAGTTGGCAACAAGTGGGCTTTAGGCCAGTCACCCATGGGACTCCACATCCAACAGCCAGGTAGCACACTTTCCTGGGGAAGTCAGCCCTGCCAAAGGGAGAGAACCAGACACCAGGCCCAGGCCCACATCTGCCCCATTCAGGTATGTCTGTCCAGTTCATCCTACACCTTCATGGTCTCCAGAGACGAGTGTTCAGAATGTCTACATGAAGGGCAGCTTCATGTCAGGAGACATAGCTTCTTCTTAGCTGCTACCTCTAACATAATGTAAATAAGTTCCTCCTGGTGATTTGCTTACTAGACACATTTCTTTTCACGGTGAAACAGCCAATTCAATTGTATTGCCTTTACTTCCAAGAAGCTCAGAACTAAGTTTAAGCCCAGTCTGTGTCTTTTAATAAATACTGCCCACATGTTCTGCTCATCCTTGGCCTGATTTTTAATCTGAATGGTTTCAAGTCCAGATGTATGCTGAGTTTGAATCTAAATATCTTTGAAGTCTGTTTTGGATTAAGTAGGATTAGTCTTAAAGCAGGAGAAATAAAACACATGCAAGCAGATATCTGCACGTATCCATGAATGCATGTGAGCACATACATAAGCACGCACGTATACATGCATGGGATAAAATGCTGCTGGGTTTCCCACAGAGATGCCTCTAAAGAGACCTACAGAAGCTCCAGGAGCCTGGCTGTGGCTGACACACAGGTCTCTTGTGGATGAGGAAATGTGATGGCAGCAGGGTAGATGCTCTGCAGCCCACAGTGTGATACAGCTGCCAAGTTCATCAGCGCCTCAGCCGGGGAGGTGCTCTCCATTATAATAAATGTAGTGCTCCTCCACTATAAGAATATGTTGCCATGGTCTTTTGTTCGGGTTCTCTGGCTTGAGGACTGGTGCAGACATCACCTGAACTGACTTTAAACTTAGTTCCCACATTGCATTAGATACCCAGCTGTGGAGGATCTCATTGAGGTTGTAAGGGCCTCATGAGGCAGCAAACCCAGCCTCAGATGCTAAACCCTAAAGGCCATTTTCGAAACAACAAGTGTCAAAAAGTAGTATGGCTGCCTTTTTATATGCAAATGTGTACCACTGCCTTGCTATGTATTTTTTTTTTTCAGTCAAAGACATCACTGTATTGAAAAGACAGAGATGAGATGAAGAAAATAATCTAATTTTGAAGTACAGAAGAAACAAGAGAAATTATGCAATTATCCCAGGCACAAGACAGAATACTAAACACGCCAGTCCACTGCCTAATGAAAAAAAAGAAAAAGAAAAGATCTGCGGGACAAGACTAATAATAGGCAGTTTTTTTAATATATTGTGTCTAGTTCATAAATATTTCCTACCCATTACTCTCAGCATGGTTCTGTTCTCATCTATGTGGTTGAGGCTCAAACAAAACATTTTGTTACTTTTAACAAAATAAGGAAAATTTATAAAAGTAGGTAAAACTTTGTCATCATAAATGGGCAGAAGATTTACAAAGAACTGACCATGTATTTGCAAACAGTAAATAGATAAATAGGCAGACAGACAAACAGACAGACAGACATATAAGAACATGGCCTGTACTTCACTGCACTTAGGTCTCGGGGACTAAGAGAGAACTGTCTGTCTTGGGAGCAGCATGGCTGAATTGGGAATAATGCAGCAGATGCAATCTGAGGGAATGGGAGCTCTGTTTCCAGTGGCTGCACATGTCCACTGGAGACCAAGTTATGCCTTCCACAGGGGCAACTTCCCCAGAATGCATTGGAGCAAGGAGAGAGGACAAGCATGTACCTCATGTTTCATAAGCACAAACATGATAGATGCCTGAGGTTGGGAAATGCCTGAACAGAGTGTCCACTTGTCTATGGAGGCAAGAGATAGATTGGAGATGGCCATAATACTCAGGGACTGACTGGGGAGTAAGCACGGGGTCCTGGAAAGGCAAGACTTAGCAGTATGGACACTTTCTTGGCACTGATCCCATTAACGGATGACTACCAATGCCAGTGTGGAGTGAGCTCTCTTCACTCTGTGTGGTTTCTCTTACATATTCGTATTCATAGCAGACAAATCAGAAAGGGGCATGAAAGGAGAGAGCGCAGCATATGATCAGCATGTCCTTCCAGGATCCCAACACAGGAAGTCACAGACTTCATGGCAGCCTGGCAAGGAAAAGGCTCATCCACACAGCAGTTCCAGAGGAGTTCAGAAGTTAAGACTGAATCATATC